TATTTTTCGTAAATTTCATTTGTTTTTTTTTTGGGGTGTTGAGTGCAAGGTTTTCTTTGATTTTAGGTACCGGAAACTCATTCATCGGTGGAATTATCCTCAGATTCCGAGGCTTCACTGAATGGCGTTCCTTCGGGGGAGGATAAAACTGATTCCCCAGAATTGTCTCCACATAAATCTTCTAAACTTTCTGATGAAGACGAGAATTCGGGTAAAGTTCTTGGGGAAAGTGCTGCAGAGTCTCCATCCGATAAGAAGTTAAAACGAAACTCTCCAAAACAAAGGAAAAAAGTAGAAGATCAGAAACCCCTGAAAAAGAAGAAACTTGAGATATCCAAGGAAGGAGAAGGTAATGCGGAGGGTTTGGTTGAAAGTTTTAGCACCCTGATCATGAGGTTTATAGACTTTTAAGAGAGAAATTTTGGTTCAGGAAACAGTGATGATGTGGAAGTTGCAGAGGAAGAAGCATCTGGCAAGCACATTGAGCCTCATGTAAGAGCATATAAGCAACAATGATTTCCTATAGAATCTTTTTATAGCTAGTGAGTTGCTTCGGTTGTATGTAATTTGCAGGTCTCCACCTCAAGGTTGCCTTTGGTGCTCTCCGAAAAAGTCCAACGCTCAAAGGTACATTAGGACATTGTTCTTCTCACTTGGTTATAGGTTGTACCTATAGTCAGCAAGATAGCGCTCTTATCAAAAGTAGAAACTAATGTTGAAGAGATATTGTTCTATAGCGTGGTGTTTTACCTCCCCAATTACTTTCCCTTGTAAAAGAAATGCTTTTTTTTTTCTTTTTGTATAGGCACTTGTTGAGTGTGAAGGAGAATCCATAGATTTGAGTGGTGATATGGGTGCTGTAGGACGGGTAATTATTTCAGATTCCAAATCTGCGGATCCTGAAATGTACCTGGATTTGAAAGGTGTGTCTTGTTTATATAGATAAACAAATTGGTGGTTGTTCAGCCTTGTCAGTGCAACTTATTGTGCCGCATGTTTCTTCATTAGCTGCCTACATCTGATTAGTTTATCTTTGGTTTAACGTTACAGGAACCATATACAAAACAACAATAGTTCCTTCCAGGACATTTTGTGTTGTAAGCTCTTGTCTCTACATGGTCCCTTGCAGAAATCAATTATCTTTCCGATTAACGAAATCAGATGCACTATAACAGTGATGTGATATGACACATTTTTTTTTGTTCAGGTTAGCTTTGGTCAGTCGGAGGCAAAGGTTAGTTAAAGCATAAACTGGATAACTCAATGAAAAAGGAATCGTTTAACTCTGAATTGTATATTCCTTGAGCAGATTGAAGCTATCATGAATGACTTCATTCAGCTGAAACCACAATCAAATGTTGATGAAGCTGAAACAATGGTTGAAGGTTGGTTTTCGTTGTGGTGGCTGTTTCTTTATTTCCATTTTCTCTTTAAAAGTTTTGAAACAGTAATTTCCTCAACATCTCATCATTTTGAATGAGTAGGAACCCTAGATGGTTTCTCGTTTGATTCAGAAGATGAGGGTGACAAACTTCCTAAAGCCACTCCTCAACAAGCTGATCAAAACGAGGATGCTGAAGAACAAACTAAGGGGGCAACCACTTCGAAGGCTAAGAAAGCATCGGTCTGTTTAAGAACCTTAATTTTTCTAATTCGTTTGGGTAAATGCAATGAATTTTTTGATGATATGAAGTTTTCTGTCGACAGACTGTTGTAAGGAAGAGAGCTAAACCTGCCGGAGGGAAGCCACAACCAGCGAAGAAACCAAGAAAGAAACCTCAAGTTTCCAAGAAAGCTAAGGGGAAGAAATGAGGGACACAATTTTTTTTATCATTTATTCTGCCCAAAATCGGGATATTAGTTCTCATAGTCGACAGGAGTAGATTGGTGATGTAGAATACCTAGCGGATCAGATTATGTAGCAGCTCAACAGACGTAATCACAAGATAACAAGGTTTGAGTTCTATGAAGTGGCAGCCCACTGTGTCTGATTTAGGCCGATAATATGCCATTTCGAAGGGATTGATAATACGCGGATGTATCGTATTACTGTCATTGTTTCAAGTTGGTTCATGGAGTATTTAGTGACCATTGCTGTATAACAATGCCGATTGGTGGCCTGTATTCCTTTGAAATTTTTACATGTAGGATCCATTGTTCATGATTAGATACAAGTATTGTATTGCAACGATTGATCTACTACATTTCAATGCAATTTGGTGTTCCTGAATGAATGATCTAAGACTCAAAAGTAAGTTGTCAAAGTCTCTGTTTGTGGAAGCCCTCCGATCCCATGTACTTGATCATATAGACAAGGGAGGTTCTCGTCTACAATGTTGCTTCAACACTCCCGGCTTCACAGTTGCTTTCAAACGATCAAGATAATATGTAGACGATGAGAAGAAGGATTAGCAGCGGAACTGGTAAGAGCCTGTTTGAAGAAGAATAAACCATCGACACAACCTTCCTACTGCCAAGCACTTCATATCTCGGAGGAGCTAGCGCATCATCTGAGTTTCTAATCCTGCATCAGGGATGTTTTTTCGTGTGAAATCCGAGAGTCGAAAAGAAAATAAGCAGTTGTTGAATTTATGCGAAAGATGATGATGAGGAGGAGAAAAAATGTACCCGTTGCCGTTGGGGCAGAAGAAAATGGCGTAATCAAAAGCCTTGCATGTAAAAGTGCTTGTGCCATCATCAAAAGCATAACTGTAAGCTCTTGGACAAGCTCTTTTGAAAATGGTGGAATAATTGGAAGGCTGGCATGTCGTCGGGTTAGCAAACTGTCCGCTGCAGCAGTACTGGTCCAAACCAAATGCCTCGCAGGCGCTCTTGCATCCGATCACGCTCCCTTCGCTTCCTCCTCCCACCACCTGAAGCTCTTTCGGGCAACCTGCATGCGTGTTTCATTGCCGCTCGGCCTTCAAAATTTGAACCATTTGGCGCCAGAAAAATTACGAAACTAAAACTTGATCAAGACCTTAATTTACCTGTGTTGATATCCGAAACGCAGCCGGTGGCATTACATGCACCAAACACGCCGCGTGGGGCGGCAATGAGGGGCAGATTGTAGCCGTCTACAATGCTGACATCGTAGAAATCTATACCATTGCCGTTGCCAAGAGTTATCTCAAATAGCGAGGCAGGTGGAGTGGCACCACTGCCACCACATTCCAGCCTGCCTCCACAGTCGCCAGTTTGACACGTGCCAGCTCCCAGCTCATCGAATGTGCAACCTGTCCTAGCCCATATACGCCCCGACCATCCTGGAGTAGAAGGAAGTTTCACACTCTGGCCGGGGTCCAACCGAAACCCCGTTGTTGGGAGCTGAGGGGTGCCAGAAGCCGCTAATGTGCCGGGCCAGATGGTTTCCGGGCAGTTGTTTGTTATAGTGAATGTGGCCGAGTACGATAAAGAGATGAAAAAAGGAACGAGGATGTAAGAGAAGCGAAGAAAAGTTTGAGGTCTCGTCGTAAATGGCATTGTCTAGGCTCATAGGTTTTGGTTTAGTGTTTGGCTTTGCAGGTGGAATGGGATTTATGGAAGGATTGGAAGAATCTGTGAGGGAAGGAGACGTGCAATCTCAGCCGCAAGATGACCTTTTCGGGTTTAGGATTTCTTTTATCTTGGATGGCCTCTTCAAGAAGCGATTCCTTTTCTTTCTACCAAGAAGAAACTTGGATTAATCAAACTCCAAATCATATAATCTTCCTCGAGGAAAATAAACGATATTCTTTCGAAGATGTCTTAGAGAACAAGCAACATCTGTTTCAACACTTGGATTGAATTCGATCTCTCTACATGTATACAGGCAGTGTCTGATCAGTAAGCTCGAGCCAAAGAACAAGAAGACGGAAACACTGACCATGAAAATGAACATGAACATGTAATTCCTTGCTCATAAATTGTGTCGATTACAAACTCGCAATGTTTTTACAAACTGACGATGCCAAATTAATAAAAACATCTGGGCATCACTAGAAAATTTACAAGCAACGAGAGGACTTTCCTCTGTTCGTCTAGAATAAAAGGACTTCGAAGTTAACAGTAACCTAAAAGATTACAAGTAGCCTAGAAATGGTTCAGTGAAAGCTAAAAACAGGCTGGAGGAGGCAACACTTCTGCCTGGTTACAACTTTCGATACACTTTCTACCTTATCAGCACAGTTACTTTCAAACATGCCGGTGCAGAGGGATTTGCCTTACACGGAAACATTGACGACCCAAATAGGCATGGGCCAGACAACTCTAACACAATTTATGTCGAACCACCAGCACAAGATAAGATGGATCTAATGCGACTCAAAAGTAGTTCAAGGTGGCTACCAGGTGCTTTGATGGCTGAGCAGACAGTGCTGTATTGTACTTCACCAACAAGGCAAATCGAAGGGATTGATAAATTACCATATTCTGGAAGTTTTACCATATTTCTGCACGTGGTAGCTTTGCCTGTGTAAGTTACAACTTCATTCAACTCTCCAGCATCACCAGGTGTAGCTTTGTCCTCCAAGAAATTATACAATTACCTACACGAGAAAACAAAACAAAATTCATAAGAAGCCATATCAAAAAATTTCTAAATAAAAAAGACATTATTCATTATTAACAAGCATATCTAATATCTCCTCGATAGCACATGCTTCAAGTCCTGCAAAATTGACCAATTTCAGATACATTCGATCAAATAACCAGAGCTAAAAAACAATGTAGATGATGCAAACATATAAAACAAGTGAAATCCGGATTACTCCTTCATAACCTGTACTAAACTAGGGAAAAGTAGCCCAACAACAATCTATACTGCCTGCAATCGTAGCGAACAAGAACCAATAATATTACAGATCCAAATTAATACAAATAATTGCCTTTCGACGACATAAACATCATAAATTAAAAGAAGTCAAAGCTAAATCATGACAAAAGTCGTAAAAACGACCTGAAAGCACCCTGCAGCAAATAGAGCCAAAATTCCTGACCAGTAAGGCTGGCAAGAATAAGAATTGAATCCAAGATTCTTAAGCAGTTAAACATACCCTGATCACCCCTAAAGAACATTCTTTTAAAGTCAAGAGCTTATGGAGGAGTTAAATTGCAGTAAACAGGACTACAAATATAGATTGTTCCTACAGACGGGTAGGACACATTAGGTCCGCCACTTAAAGTACTCATCAAGTTCATCGTCCATCTCCGTTCCACGAAATGAAAATGGGGAAAAGTTTAAAAGGAACAAGATTAAGATAAGCAATAAAGGTCTTTCATTTATCTTATATAAGTCTAGCTCATATCCATGCCATCTCCAACTTTGCTGCAGATCAGACTGGCAGTAGTGAAGGATCGCTCGAAGGGAGAAGGATGGAGCTGGGCATCCCGTCTGCGCTTAGAAGAGCAACTGTCCGCAGAAGAGTTCTCCGACTCATGCTTCCTCCGGACCCCTCTCACAGCCTGTTCCTCTACTTGTGTAAGGGGGAAAATCTTTCCGCTTGCCCGGCAAAGGGAGCTATGGTTATCATACAGGATCCTCTGATCACAGTTTTTGTCACAGATGTGAGTGGCTCCAGTTAGCTTGCAGAGGTACATATTCGCGCAGACGTGCTCGTTCTGACATTTCCAGTCACATTTGTGCACAGGATTTGACCCATCACGGCCCAAGATTGTCGACAGATATACAACATTCGTTGGTCCTGCCACCACAGAATTGCCATCCACCTCCATTGCAACTGCGAATTGATGAGTTTCGGAACGTCAATTCAACAGATTCCACCAGCAAACATGGTCCCACGTAAACCTTGTTTGCATTTCTTAATGTTTTAAGAATCAAGCTACTCAAAACATTTGTTTTAATTAAGGAAAAAAAAAAACATGGTACTTTGTTAATTAAGGGGAAAAAAAACCAAGGTACTATGTACAAGATCACAGAAACATGACAGAAACACCGATCATGTTCCATATGAAGCCAACAACTCACTTTCTTCATCAGATCTGATGCATGTATCAATGTGGGATGTAAAGTTACACAATTTAATTTACTGCCCCTAAAATTTACAGAAAAAATGTATTTACTTTTTGTTTTACCCGATTAATCAATCATAAAACATAATTATATACAAGCAATTATCTCAAACAAAGCTAATAAATTCCAGGAAAAAATAGAAAACAAAGAAGAAAATGACTCACTTGCGCTGTTCTTCAACGCTAACCCAGCAACCCAGCAGCACCACCACCTACTCCCCACCAATCTCTCTCTCTCTCTCTCTCTCTCAAAGACTCAGACTTTCTCTCTCGTTATCCAAAATGCCTAGCAAGCTAACAAAGAAATTGTGAGTGTGGGGGGTTGATATATAGAAAAGTAGAGAGAGAAAGGGAGGAGAGAGAGAGAGAGAGAGAAAGTGGGGTGGAGTAGTTGACGTTGTAGGTACTGTAGAGAGAGGAGAGGACAAAAATCCAAAAACTCCAACCCAACTAACCCAAACTGATAAAGCGCCAAATTCCCAAATGAAATACGAGTGAAATTTCGGGTAAATTGCGGTTGAAATTCACTTTGTGCCCCCTTTTTTCCTGTTTAAAGTACGACCCAATTTCTCTCAAGTGGACTTGACTTTTCAAAGGGTTCACCTATAAAAGAGGATAATCCAAGCATATTATCTATTTTCTCTAAACAAATACTAGATCCACCTTCTATTGTTGCATAATATTATAAATCAACGATACTGTAACACATGTCTCTTTTTATTATCAAATTTATCGATATTCGAATTTAAAATTTCCCACTTCTAAAAAAATAAGAAATACATTAAATCGTAGTACTATGTAGCAAGTATTTGATGTTTTTAAATAGTTTTAAAAATACAATCCAAAAAATTATATATATATATATATTAAAATGTGAAGCTCGAGGTCGGAGTGTCATGTGTTCCCGGTCCCGCCTCCAACGGTCTCTCTCTCTTCTTCGTAAAGATTGAAGATTCAAATGCTCTCCCTCTCTTTTAAAGATTTTTCAATTTGATCGTCACATACATCATGTGTCGTTATATAAATAGTGAAATGTGTGTTAAAAATTTAATAATTTAAAAAATAAAATTTCTCATCACTTACATAAAAACATATGATGTATTAATCATGTTCTCGTCACAACTAAAATTTTCTCTTCTCTCTCTCCCTCTATGACTTTTTACACGAACCACCATTCGCCACGTCTATTTCTCCCCGTCTTCCTCGCTGGGCTGTTCCGAACTCCCACGGGCCCAAATTCACCCCGGCCCTTTTGGGTTTAAGCTGTGGATCTTGACCCGAAAACCATTTTTCAACCCGGCTAAGCTCCGTTGCTCTTCGCTCCTCACCCTGTCTACACTGTTTGCTAGGGTTACGGTCTCAGAATCGCCACGCTTGCTCCTCCCTGCGCTCGGATATCAGTTTCAGACTCGAATTTTAGGTCTGCCTATATCTCTTCTGCTTAAAATTATTCAAATTTTGTTTAAATTCGTCACCTTTCTGAAGAATTAGTTTGGAAATTGTCGGCTTTGTCATTGACTGTGTTTTTTTCCCCTCAATGTTTATTTTTAATCAAATTGATAATAGTATGATACTTCAATTAATGTTAATCATGGTATAGATGTTTCATGTGTATAATCTTTGTATGTATTATCATGATTTAAATTCTTAAAATAAAGAGCGATCCCAAGACAATAAAGCTCTCCGCTTTGCGAGTGGTTGGAGAAAGTACGCAGCTTTGTCCTTGTTTTGCGAAGAGACTATTTTAATGGCTCGAACCGTGACCTTTTGGTCACAAAGAAATAACCTTTCCGTGAAAGTATGCAATTTCAGGATTCTGGAAAGAAAAAAAACCAATAGTTTCTGTTTTGATAATTCAAGATTTTTTAGGTTTCTAGCATGTGTTTTCGATCTCTATCTTTCATATTCGATCAAAAAGTTAATTGCTTGAACATATTTTCGCTGTGAAGTTACTTGTTTGTTGAATTTGAGATTTGAAATTACAGTTTAAGTTAGCTACTAAGTTTTTCGTATGATATTTTTATCTAATATTCTTATTAGATTTGATATATCAGATGTGGTTTTGTTGTAAGCAGGTAAAGGATCATGGTGGGATTTAAGAACAGGTATATGGTAGTGGAGGTTATCTTGGATTCTAATAGAGAACTGGTGAGAAAAGATCCTGTTATCATTACCTCGTACAATGTCATGAAAGCTATCCGAGACAGCATTCTGGTAAATTTTGGGGAGTGCGGTCTGGCTTCATCACTTGGATCATTCCAAGGTAAGTAGTATGCGCTTTTGCAGTTAATTTTCCGTAAAATGGCCTCTCTCAATTTCTCCTTGTAATTTTGTGCAGTCAAGTATGTGAATGACATTACGAGAATGTGTATCATTAGAGCTTCAAGGGATGAGTATCAGAAAGTGTGGGCTGCAATTACCATGGTCAGGAGTATTGCAGATTGCCCGGTTCTATTTAATTTGTTGGACCTAAGCGGTGAGTTGAGTTGCAACAGATTAAGTCTTGTTTCGAAAATGCACAATACCTTACAATTAAGTTATTCATTTGACTCTTGAATTCAGTTACTGTGCTCGGTTAAGAGGTCACATTTAATCTCGTAGTGTTCATTTTTTAAGCTAATCTGAAGTTACTGTCATCACAAAGACACAACATAGTTGCCTTCTTTCCCATCTGTTAAAGAAAGTTAAATACCAATGTTTTCTTTTGTTTTCTTTGTATCAGGAAGTATCAAAGCTTGTAAAGAAACCGCATTGAAGTGTGATGAATCAAAATTTGAACAGCACAAGCTGCTTGTTGGATCTAATCTGTCGGCTCAAGATACTCAAAAAATGCAGTACTATCTCGACAAGATCAAAGGCCTGGAGCACTAAAGTTCTACTCCATCTATGGTGACATTCCGTGTTCAAATGCCACTCCGATCGATCAGCTCTTCCGATCCAAAATGAATACAGTAGAAATTAACGTCGAATTTAATTCATATAACCAAATGAGCACCAGATTACAGATATCACATAGCTACCAAAGTGGCATTTTTAAACTCCTCCAATAGGCTTCTTGGCCTGGTGTAAATTTTGTCTATGCTGGTGAAGTAATAGAGGATGATAAGCTTTCGGCGGATACAACATCCATTCACTCTTTGAGGGATCAGGTTGAAGAGAGAAATGATTGAATGAATTTGTACTATATTTATACTTTAAATGGATGAAGCATATCGAATCGTGTTACTTGTCAAATAATTGTGTGAACTTGGTAAATGCTAAATCCGCTTCTAAATCGCTTATAATATTTTTCTTAACGCATGCAGACGTAAATTCTCATCTGCATTTTTCACATAAAGTATGAGCATATTTTCATTTCAACGAAGGAGGGACGAATGTTTAATGAAAATCCAAGCTAACTTGGCTAATTTTTTTATTTTTTTTCTTTAAATAGCCGTTAATTCGATTTTCTTGCATGTACAAATACAAATGATCAAAACGTAAGCACAAACTTGTATCTGTATATATCCTCCTCTATTAATCAAAGAATCTTCAGTAAGAGAGGCCGTTACCATATCAAAGATAACCTAATCAAGAAAAAATTAATTAAAATACAAAAAAGATCAAGAATTTCTTGCACAACACGCATGTCCTCATGTCCTTTGTATGTCTCTATGTTGCTGATCACAATTGAAAGATATGGTCTCTGCATTGCAAGAAATTAAAAAGATTAAAGCTTTCTTGACAACCAAGAAACCAGCAAAATCATCATCGTCGACTAGGTCGTCTTTGTCGACTCAGAAAAGCCCGAAAAGAACCGAGAAGCCGAGGACGATCAGCCAAACAATGTGAACCAAAAGCAGCGCCTGAGCAGAGAGAGGGCCGGCAGAACCCCCGCTGCCAACTTCACAAAACCCTAATTTCGCCACTTTGACACCGGCACATTGTGCCTCTTGGCACCCACACCAGTAGGTCACCCCGTCCACCCCACACACCGGGTCGGGCCTAAAGCAGTTTACCGGACACATGGGGCGGGACAAGGGTGACTCCAGTTGTGCGCTGCATCGATCCGCGGACGTGGCATCTGAGGGCAATCGGAGATTAATGATCGTTGATGATTCGTGGTCGGATTCAACCGTGGAAAAGGAACAGAAGACAAAGATTGGGAAGAGGCTTAGGAGGATGAGGGGGACTGGTACCGATTTTGCGAAATGGGTTTCCATTAGATCAATCTACCCCGCAAAGGCGAGCTTTTTCCTTTCTTTCGATGAATTCCGAAAGAAAAGCAAAGTCAAGCTCGCCTTTATATTTCGCAAAGAAAATGATCTTTGCAAAACCTTTCTTCCCAGAAAATCATCTCACCTCAGCTCCCCAAAAATCCTTGTTGATCTTCTTCTTGCTCCCTGAACCTTCCCCAAATTTGAGAGATGTGATTCTCCAAATCAGGTCAGGTTAGGTTTTGCGGTTTAATTATGAAGTTCCCGAATCTGAGTTTACCATGGGAATGTTTCTTCCCTTTTGACTACTTACTCAATATATCCCCTCCATTTTCTGGTATAATTAGGGAGATGATTAGCTTAACTTCCAGTTCGATCCCTAATTTTTCCGTGTTTAATGAAGGGAACAAAGATCGGACGCGTAATGTGCCTCCTAATTTTGAGTTTGATTTGTGCATCTACGGTGTCGTCTTTGCTGCTGACGGATTTGGACACTGAACGCTGATATCGGCCGGATTTTTGGGACAGCCATTGTCCCCGCTTCTTGATTACAACTTTTACGTGTAATGATAGAGGATTTTGGCGCGTATGCCATTTCTTTTTACCAAGTATACTATTTTTTCTTTTTAGTTTTCCAAAAACTCGAAGGAATTATGGTCTAAGAGATTTTAAGTTCGATAATTGATTATTACGATTGATGTATTGTGTGACTTAACCTAATTTTTTTCTTTTAGTATAAACATGTCGTTATATTAACGAGAAACGAAGAAAACACACTGCTTTATAGATTGCTAATATTATGTTTATGTACGAGCTAAGTCAGCTAATTAGATAAGTGTATCCCTTTAATCAAACGATCATATTTCTAATACTAAATTAAGCACCGAGATCAATTATGCATTTGACTAATTCTTAAATTTCTCATTCTTTTAATTAAACAGTCATGTATATTTACAAATATTTTTTTCAATATGATGAGACCAAATTTACACATTTACATCCTCAAGTAGACATTCTTCCGCTAAAGACAAAACATGTTTATACATATCTTTATTAGAGATGTATATATATCAAGTAATTTTCTTAATAATTTCAGTTTAGTGGTTAATTGGTTTTGTTTTTGGAGGCGTCGTTGATCTAAAATGTTGGAACAAGGGACACTTGGTGAAGGGGGCAGCCGCACAAAATTGGAAAACGACCAACGATATTAACGAACTGGAGGACCACCATCCTCTAATTTCCCAGCAAGAAAATCGGAGGAGACAGAGAAATAGAGTTGTTGGGTTTGAAAAAGTCATGGAATATTTATATAGAAGAGAATGTTGGTACCAAGTTGCGGGTAATTGCCAGGCTGATGACCAACGATTTCTCCTAAACATAAGACCCATCTTCCACTATATGAACCCTTTATGTCCTAAAACATTTTCCCTCAGCCTCAAACACCACTCTCCTCTCCTTTGATAAATACCTAATCCAGGACCCCGGCGTCCAACTCCAGAGACTCGCTCACTCGTCCCATCGACCCAATCAAATCATGGGAGGCTGTGCGAGCAAGCCAAAGGAGTTCGACACCCCTCGCCCAGAGACCCTCCCCAGCGAGACCACCAGCCCCAAGAAGGCTGATGGTCCTCAGGAGGGTGAGGCCACTACTACTACCACCACTGCCACTACCACCGAGGCTGCAAAACAAGAGGAGACCACCAATGAAGCACCATTGATAGACCTCTCAAAGCCAAAGGAAGAGGAAGTTGAGGCTGCGGCCGCACGTGCTGTTGTCCCTGCTGTTGCGGCAGAGGCTGAGGTGGTAGCAACCGAGAGGCCAAAAGAGGAAGCGGAAGTTGCTGTCAAGCAATTAGCGGAGATCAATCTCGTTGAGGCTGTGAAGGAGACCAAGGAGAAAGAGCTGGTGGAGGAGCCTGCACCGAAGGCAAATGAAGAGAAGCCAGCGGCGGATATCAAACCAAAGGCAACAGAGGGGGATGTAGCAAAGGCAGCATCTCCTGTCGCCTCAGAGGACAAGGCTAAAATCTAAAGATGCACCTCTTGTCACTGTTTAATCGCATCGCACGCGTTTCCAATCCAGCTATGCATTAATTAATGTATCCCAAAAAACAAGAACCCTAAAGCCATGAAGTGCAACAACACAGTGTTGACGATGGATATTGGCGCACTTTGTATCTGATGAATTTTTGGGACTCCAAAAGTAGTGAAAATCCTGTATTTTAATTAATCTATATGTATATGCCAGAATCATATATTAACCATCTATGTTTTAAGAATAAAATTTGTCGCAGATAATGTTAATTACAACCACCATTTCCTTTCTATGAAGAGTCGGATTCAAACTCAGGGTGCAACTGGGCAACTGACCTATGCCAATATTCATTCCCTTAGCCTTAGGAGCCCGAGCCTGTTTGAAAACTGGAGATCATTGAATTTCTAAGCATGAAAGAAGCAAGCCTGTGGTCAGGAACTAATCATTCCAACATTTTATCAAAACGTGAACTTTGATTACTCAGTAAAATACTTGACAATTTGAACATGGTACATAATTTACACTAATTCGTGAAGATTCGATTGTATGAATGTAATTAAATCAAATATTCAGATGGCTTATGACTAATTTGATCTGCTAATTAGGCCGACGATCATTATGATCACTTCTCTGAGGCTGCAGGCTCAGCAACCTTCTCCTTGGTAAATTCCTCCACATCAGCCTTACCTTCATCCTTCACAGCCAGCAAGATCAGAACCAGCAGCAGCGGATAACTCACGGTGTTGAGCGCGAAATTGGTAACCAATTGGGAGAGGAAGGATGCCTTGCGTGTATCGACTTGCCAAGCAACTGCTGCCCCTGCACTCTGTATTCCCTTGTAGAATCCAACATACCTGTACAAAACATGAACAAAAATATGAGTTTTTAGCATCACACTTTGTTCTGTGACTGTAACTGAAACACCCCAACCCTCTTTTATATTTTAAAATTGTTTTAAAGCCTTAATTGGTGAGCCCGTGGGCCCACCTTGTTTATTTTTTTTTTATGTTTTCTGATCTCTCTCTTCTTCTTCTTCGTTTCTCCCTCCCGTAGCTCTCTCCTTCTCAGCTCTCCCGTCTCTCTCTCTCCCTCAACCTCTCGCATCTCTCTCTTCCCCTGGACTCACTAGGACCGAGTCACCATCGAAGAGAGGCTCGCAACGAACCCCGGACCCTGCCCTGCGAGTTCGACGGCACGGAGTAAGCTCCGGCGAGCACCGCCCCTTTCGAGGCCATTTCCGGCCAAACCACAGCGATTTGGCCGGCGTGTAAGGTATCAATCTCTTCGTCTCGTCGAGTACTACAACTTTCCTTTTTGTTTCACTTAATTTCGTGAGTATTGAAGAAGTTATACTCATTTGAATCTTACCCAGTTTCCGGCGAGTCCGACTGCTTTCGAGGCATTT